TATATATAACCAATAACAATCGAATTTCATTTTTGATCAGATTGTATATTACTATTATTCATATATACCAATTTTACGATAACCTGTATAAAAAAAGTCTTTTTTTAAAAAGAAAAAGAATAAGATAACACATCGAATGAATGAATGAATGAATGAATGAATGAACGAACGAATGAACGAATTATTTTTTTCTTTCTTTTTCATTTTGCTTTGTTCTTCCTTTGGGGGTCGGGGGAAAGAAAAAAAATATTGTAAGCGACTTTTATGGCAGTAATTATTTTCAAGACTGTTGTTTTATCTTCTCTTTCCGTATATCTCGATATGATTATCGAGGAATAATTAGTATCAAGAAAAAAAAGAAAAATAATTTATACGACTAAATTCATTTCTTCTTGTTGTTCAGTATGACCGATTACAAATGGCCAGTTCCTGTTCGATATCCTTTCAAGTTCACCTCGTAAAAGCCTTAATAAATCATCGATGCATTTCACTTCATGTATATCCTGTCTCAGTCTTAAAACGTCCGATGATAAATCAAGTAACTTCTCTTCCTCGTACTAATCAAAAAAATAACAATAAAAAATCATCATTGGCATTATTATTATTATTATTATTATTATTATTATTATTATTATTATTATTATTATTATTATTAAAAAGAAAAGAAAGGATATATTGAAGAAGATTAGAAAATTCTTATTGTGTAGATACCTCGAAGTCTTTCCTCAGTTCGCAAATATCCTTGAAAATATCCTTATTCGTATTTTGAAGTCTCTCAACACGTTTACGAAGATAATAAACCGATTTATCTGGTTCTCCGTGAACGGGTGGTACATTACCATCGGTTTCTATGGTCAATGCTAATCTTGTTAAATTATCGTGAGTCGAAGTGTTGTCACGAAAACGATCATCGTCCAACAGGATCCTTGCCTTTTCTGGATTACTTTCGAGCTCCTGTAGAATCGATACTATCTCGTTTATAGGCGTGGATTGTACCTACAAAGAGAAATTGGTATAAATATTTTATTATTATAATTAAATACACACAAAAAACTAATCTAATCTAATTGAACAAAAATATATATAATTTTTTTCAAAATCTTCAGATATTGATCTTATAAAGTACATTGATATTTTTATATTGAAGATAAGATTTCTGATACTTTATTTATTAATGTAGTTTTATTTTTATTTTCAGAAATATTATCAAATATGGGAAAATGATAAAATACCTGAATGAAATCGGTACTGCAAACATCACTGGATGAATTATTACCAAGTTCATCGCAAAAATAAAGAGGAGGATTTGTTTGTGTGTCACTTTGAGTTTCAGAACTCCAATCGTTGCTTTGAATACCTGAAGTATCTTCTACAGATGATCGACGAGTTGTTGTTGCTGTTGCTGTTACTACTGACTGCTTCTTTAAATCATCCCAGGTAACACTTAGCCTTTCGTAACTCGATCTATTGCTAATCGTATCGGTTGTTGAAGCTTTCGATACTTCAGTCGTCGTCGTCGTTGTTGTTGTCGTTGTTGTCATCCTCTTGAGCACGGCGTCATCCTGAAGGATGCTCGTCGTATTAACGACGGGATTAGGAGAGCTTGTTCGATTTATTAGTATTTTTGAATTATCTTCGTTCTTGTTGTACGATTCCAATAATGCTCTTAAACGTTGGTCACCTGAATTAATTTTATTTTTATTAAACTCGTTAAAGATTAAAAACAGTATCCTGTTAAAGTATTATGATATTTAAAGTTTATATTTAAATTATTGATAAATTTTTGCATCTTTTAAAACGATTGAATTAAAAAATTTTTTTTTCTTTTTTTTTGCTAAAAAGGGGAATAGCATGTAATATATATAAAGTGTTAAATATTATAATGTCGATTGTTTAAATGAAAAAAAAAAGACATTTTTTTGTAGATTCGTGTTTCGAAGATAAAGAATTTAAAAATTTTACATTTTCATAATATCAAAAGAAATTTTTGTTCATATAAAAGGAATATTTATTAAGTATGTATATATAGTCGATTAATTCTAACAAGAAACCAATGTCAAAAGGTACATAGTTATATATGAAGAGAGTCAGTCACACGAAAGAAAGCAAGAAAGAGAAAAAGAGATCAAAATAGGCTTGAAACGTGCGTCAGAGAGAAAGAGAGTCTATACATAGAAGTATATATATCGGTAAAATGGTCGAAGTTTTATTGAGGTCAAGAGTCACGTTCAGGAATCGCGTGTCCTAGTTTATAACATCATTGTAAATACATATCATCTCTAGTCGTCCTAAAGAATGAATTATATTCATATTTCGAACGTTTCTTTTTAGAACTGCGATATATTTTGTAATTTATTCAACGAGATTTTTTAAGTATCTCTCTCTTTTAAATAATTATTTTGTTCTCTTTTTTTTTTTTTTAATTTCCATTCCCATCTATCTCTTTTTCTCTCTCTTTTTTTCCCCTCTTCTTTATTTTTTTATAGGTTTTATTCTTTTTATAGGTTTCCAAGCATTGGATCGAAAGGAAACCTTTTATAAATAATAAAGAAAAAAAAGAAGAAAAAAGAAGAAGAACAGGAAGGAGAGATAAGTACCAATTTGTTTCGAATCGATGAGATAATTAAGTCGTTTATTTGCTAGCCTAGTCTTACGTAGATTCTCATTTTCAGAACTCATACGAGACATAGAAAGAAAACGTGGGGACGGTATTAAAATCCTGTATTCCTCGCATCTGATCAATCTTTCTGGAGTATAACAAATTCCTCGCGTTTTTTGAAGTATTGGTTCACCGCCTGCCAATTCATCGTGTACATTATGATCTTTTCTTTGGGTTGTTTTCGTCGTTGTCATCGTCGTTGTCATCGTCGTCGTCGTTGTTGTATCCTATGAAAAGAAGAAATAATTTGAGAGTCAATTTTTGTTTGATATAATTATTTACAAAAAAAAATAATAATCAAACTGAAAAGGTATTATTCATCGAACCGATTGATATGTACGAAGAGCGTCCATTTCAATGAGATCGTTGTCCAATTCATCATTAGAATTTCTGGTTAAAGTAGTGAGTTCTATATTTTCACAGGTCTCTTCAGCGTAATCGATGTCGTTATCGTCATCAGGATTCTTCGAATAATCCGATACAAAGGTGTAAGCATCAGCCTCGTCCGAATCGATGCACGATAGCATTGAAGTTGACGATCCTGACGATCGGCAATCCTTATTTTTATTATTTCCAGTCATATTTGTAGGACATTCCAATCCACCGATGAACCAACCAAATTCATCTTCCTTATTTCCTGGTGATCTATCGATCCTAGCTGTTTCACCACCAGCAATCCTTCCGTTTAGATAAAACATCATCAATGATCCCAATCATGCACTGTTCAAGCACACAATTCATTTGATTAGTTAATTTTTTTTTCTATCACTTTAAAACTATTTAATTAATTTTTTCTATCACATTAAATTATTTATTGTATTTTTGCGTTAATAATTTTATGGTAATTTATTCTAGCTTGAAATTCACGTATACAGTATTCGTTATTTTAATTATATTTTAATTCAAATATATTATAATTATTATTTATTATTTAATTTCTAATAATATAATTATTACGAAACTAGCGAGAAATTTGTTGTTCACTAATATTTGTGCTCATTTATTTAGGCTATTAATTTCTTCTTTTTTTTTCATTCAATATTAATTTTATAAATCAATAACTTTGTATGTGCAATTAAATTAATTTTATTAACGTTGCAACTCACGAATTTGATTATGCAATGCAATACGAGGAGAGACGAATTCCGGAAAAATTTTGAGAAATGAAAATCAAGCGTAATTTGACATCAATGTCAGAAGAGAAGAAAAGCGGAACACAATACACTACACCACACCGCATGCATGCACACACACTATTGAACGAATATCACAAACTAGTGGGATAAAATTGTCGCGATGAACATTTTAACCGATGATAATGATGATGATAATGATGACATACGTTCTGTGGGATATGTCAGACTTGGTCAATGAGGGGATTTAAAAACACTTGTACGACTTCTGCGGCGACGTAAAACTGACGAGAGAGAGTCTTCGGTGATAGAAAGAAAAGAAAAGAAAAAAAAGAAAAAAAAGACGGGAAAGAAAAAAGGGCAGAATAAAAAATATTCGCGATGTCTCTTGTCTACGTTGGTAAAGCCACCAGGTATTTCTTTTTCCTCTTCTTTTTCTTCTTCTTTAACACTACTCCTCCATCTGTCATCGATAAACGCTAGTTTTATTTTTCAAGCCCAGTCCCCCCTCTCCCCCTAACCCCACGAGTAAACATTTTAATTAATATTTAAAACGTCGATATTCATTTTTCTTTTTTTTTTATATTTCTATTTTTATTTTTTTATTTTATTTTATACTCCGAACGTTGAAAACGAAATATATTATTATTTAGTTCACGAGCCTCGAGTTTTTACGTATTTTATTTTTATTATTATTATTATTATTATTATTATTATTATTGTAAACGGCTGACTATTGAAATTTCCATGTTTTTCTTTTTTTTTTTTTTTAATTTTAGTTTTAGTTTTATTCTTTTTTTCTGAATATTTTTTTCCTTCTTTTCATTTGGATGAATTGAAATGTTAACACACGTAGTAGATGTTAAAAATGCGCTTCGATCTTCTCGTAATCGTCATCGTCGTTGAACTGCTGCTGGTCAAACGTTATAGCAACCGTGGAGACTCTTTACACGACCATTGCTTGTCGTCATAGCGATTGCTAATTAAATTAAACCCAACTGATTCTCTCCCTCGTTGCCTTTTCTCGTTTAGAAACCTGATATTTTTTATCTCTTCTATTTCTTTCACCTCCTCTTCATTTTTTTTCTTTTTCTTCTTCTTATTATTCTTCACTTACCTTTAAAATATTCTTACATTGACCGCGTATTGTAGATTTACAAGTGCAATGAACTCTCGATCTCTTTTTAAATATTAAGAATATAAAAAAAAAAAAAAATAGGAGGAAAAGAAAAATTTACCAAAGAGCTTAGAAGAAAAACACGGGAGAGAGAAGAATGCACACCACTTTTATCGAATTTCTTTTAAATACTAAAAACATTTTTGGTTCTCATTTTTATTTATTATTTATATATAGATATATTATCAAAGAAGAATTACTTTTTTTTTTTCTATAGATAAGATTTAATTTAAACAAATTTACTTTGCATCAATTACGTTCGAGTTATTCATCGATTACTTAGGGAAAATTGTAGAAAACGCTGTAACAAGGTTCGATTCTATATTTATCCGAGCTGTACATAGGTTGCTTTTTTGTTTGTTTTCTTTTTTTATTTGTTTTTATAGTTAGTGCATTCGAGACACGATTGGCCTGGCCTCTTTCTTCTTATATGTGTGTTTTTAGCGATAAACTGTTTGTGACCCCTGTACCGAGTGATAAATCTCGCTGACTCAAAGCCGGATCGACTAGATCCTCCACGTTTGGCAGACACAGTATTTATTTCGCAGTTGCAACGAGTACAACTGCTGAAAGAGAGAGAAAGAAAGAGAGAGATAGAATTAACGTCATAGCAAACAATATCCTCTCTCTTTTTCTCTTTTACATTTATATATACATATGTATATATTACATATATTATATATATATAATGTGTATTTTATAACGTTTTGCAAGTAGTCGGTCGTACTATCAACGATGAATTAATTTTGCTTATTTTTACCTTTTTTAAATATTTTTTTTGATACTTTTTAATAGATCTTTAATTATGAATATAAAATATTAAATAATCATGGTCGAGTACCGAGTTATCGTAGACAATGATCTACGGATTGCATAAATTTAAATGCAAAGTGTTTAATTTAAAAAAAAAAAAGGGAAACAAATTTTTGCTTAATTTTTCATTCATTTAAATTAAACGACGAGAGATACAAGCAAATTAGTTTTACGATTTTATTTTATTGTTTTTTCTCTAATCGATTTTTAAATAAGTATTATTTTTAATTAAATAATTAGATCCAATCAATGCGGATAGATATTTGTTGAGATTCACGATTATCTGTCATTAGGTTAATTATAATACAAAGATATTATTTTTCTAAATTTCTATTATATATATCGTTCAAAATATTAATTTAATAGCACGACAATTTGTATATACAAAAATAAGAAGAAAAAAACATATTAAAAATACATATCTTTCTCCATACAAAACAATAACTCCGTTTAATAAATGACAATGTCATTTTAATAACTCGTTCGATTTATCGATTAGATCGTTTTAAATAGCACATACATCTTTCGATGTATTAAGATTTATCGATTAGAAATAAAACTTAAATTCTAAAATTGCACGTTCTTAATTCGCTCACAGTTTATATCGAAATTGACCTTTGACCTCGTAGCACGAACGTTCTTCCGTTTTAAAGGCTGTTTAAACAACTAACCAACCAACCAACCAAGTTAGAAAGAGAGAGAGAGAGAGAGAGGAAACGATTTATTCACTCCTCGTTTACGTGAGGGGTCTCGTTATCTTTCTCTCTCTTTCTCTCTCTCTCTCTCTCTCTCTCTCTATCTTTCTGTCTCTTTCTCTTTCATTTTACACAACACACGTACCGTCGCGAAATTTCCATTTAAACCGACAAAGACTAATTTTATCGAGGAACGATTAGCTAAGACTTAGTTATCGTAACTTGGCCCACCTACTTCTACTTCACTTATACTAACTTCACATATCGTTTCACTTCTCATCCGTTCGTCGTAAAGAGATCTCTTTTTTCTCTCTCTTTTTACTTCTATTTCTATCATTATCTATCTACTAATCTATTTATTTATCTCTTTCTATCTCTCTCTCTCTTTCTGTCTTATGATTCAGACTTTACCTGATCGCATTTATGATATGAATGGTCACGTGATCTACTCCCAGACCAACACCTTTCGATACATCTATTACCTTTTTTTTTTCTTCCTCACACCTTGACCACGCAACTTTTTTCTCTTTTTTTGTTTTTTAAATCTCGTTTTGTTACCCCTTCTTTCTCACATACATACATGCATGCATACTCCTCTTCTTCCTCATTCTTTTTTTATCTCTGTAATACGTTTTGGAATTATATTTTCTTTTATCTTTTATTTACGATTTCGTAAAGTTATTGGCTATATCTGTTAGTTCGGTTTTTTTTTCTTTTTTTATCGCTATTCGTAAATTTATTCATCGATCGCATTTGAATTATATTTAGTATTGGTATTTTCTTATTAATGTGTAACAGAATGAAAGAAGAAATGTATCTCGAATTGTTCGGTGAGTATGTTAATTTTATGATACAAATTTAATGTTTTGAAAAATAAGACTTTTTTTTTTTATAATTGAGATAGTTACAGGTGAGATTTTGTTGTTGTTGTATAATTTTGATTAGTTTTGTTGGCGGGAAATATACGAAGATTTTTTAGATAGGATCATTCGAACGCCATCTTGTGGATTATCGAAGCGTATAGTAGTTATAATAGTTGTAGCTAATTTAGTTGTTTTTCTATTAATCAGCCTGTGGTCTAAGGGTACGATTTACCACCGTCTATCCAGAGCAATGGATTCTGTCGGGTATTCGAGACTACATGCTGATTTTCATTTTTTCTTATAGATTTTTTCGGTCAAAGGTCAGCATTTTCGGTGTTAACGCATATGGATTAAGAAGGGGATTTTTAGGAAACTCCTTAATAGGAATATTCATGAATATTACATCGTATGGCCTTGATCAATGATAAAAATGTTCACCGTATCGGTGATAACGTTATCAACGATGATACACGTTGCTCGTGAACGATGATACTCATATACGTTTTTACTTTCACAGGTGTGTGAGTTGGATATCTTCCATGTATTTGTGTATGTTGTGTTTGTAATCTGTACGAATGCAATTCGATTTATGTGTCTGCATAAAATGGTTTCCCTTTTTTTTTTTTTTAAATTTTTTTGATGCTGCGTTCTTCATTTTTGAGAGCTTCAACAAGAGGAGAAAAAGAGAAAATAAAAGGAAAATGGTGGTGATGGTGGTGGTGGTAGTGGTGAAGGAGAAGAGAATAATTTAAAATTCAAACCTCGTCAGATAGTCTATCATTTTTTTCACCAACACAGCAGCAGCCTACTCTATGCACATAAATTTTCTTTCAAGAGTTTTCGTACTATTTTTAAGTACAGTTAGGATCCATTTAGGATCAGGACACATATCTGGGTCTCATTTATTTTCAATGATTTTTTTTTTTTTTGAATTAGGTTCTTGATCTAGACCTTTTGTTTAATATGTATAAATATAATATATTTGGCCTTGTTTTATTGATTACGTAAACAACGATAATACTAACTATTAAACTTTTTTATAAAACGATTCATTTATTCGAGTAAAACCGCATGCAGTGTCTCGTTTCGCGGTAATTATGAAGTCTTACGTAAATATATATTATATATAAGATCTAGCTTGGAAGTATTATTTTACGATGAATTTGATACACATTAAATCATCAATGAAGGATAATAAGGGGAAAAAAATACGATTGAAAAAAGAATATCAAATAAAACTACGAACATCGATAATAAATGTTTTAAGAATAATTTTAAACGATTTCAAACAATCCATGATTTTGCATAATTGTTTGATATTTCAGTATAAAAGAAAAAAAAAAGTTTTAAGTATATACTATAGTATAGATTAAGTAGACTATAGATTAAGAGATTAAGTATACTATAAGTATAGATTAAATGAAAAATATATTAAAACTGATCTCTATTTAAATGTCTGATAATAATAATAAAAACTAACGTATAAACAATCGTTAACAAGTAAAAAAAGAAATAAATATCGCGGGAATATTCAAATTGATGTCGTAACGAGGGTTTTAAAGCGCAGACGCATGTGATAGGTGGGGTGGTTATAAGAGTCGTCGTCGTCAACGTAGTGATGGTGAGGGTAGGTGTAGAGTAGGCGTTGTAGTACTATGGAATAAGAGGGTGGAAAAGGGGTGAGTGAGCGTTTTCCAGCTAACGGATCGATATGGAAGACGCGAGAGTGCGCGAAGAAGACCACATCGTTGCACCTACGTTGTTGTAGTAGTACTAGTAGTAGTAGTAGCATTAGTAGTAGTAGTAGTAATAGTAGTATTCGTCGTCGTCGTGATAGTATTCGTCGGTGGTGACGGTCATCGAGTAAACGGACGAAGCGAGAGTAGATCGACAATAGTCAATTTTCTCTTATAAGAAAGAGAGGGGATGGTTAGCAGTTAGAAGGGGGAAAAGAGAGAGAGAGAGAGGAAGAATTGTGTGTGTAGGAGTGGGTATTCCCGTTCATCCCTTACGCGTTGTTCACCCCTGCGGTAGCAGGACTGTTAGTAGTAGAAATATCAGAACGAGCAGCACCGGCGCTTTCAACCACCAACCACCACCACCACTATCATCAACCACCTCCATAACCTCCACCACCACCACCACCACCACCACCACCACTGGTAGCAGCAGCATCGTCGTTTCGTTTGCGACCTGCTCCGGTTCTCTCGCGCGAGAAACGCGCGCGTATTCTCGCGCTGCGTTCCATGAGAGTAACTCGGATTAAAAGATACCCTTCGCAAGAGATATGTTTGAGAAAATAGTGTTACTAGATATTAATCGAACGAGTTAAGAAGTAAAAGGAATATATATGTGCATATTCCTTAATCGTATTGCTACAATTCGAGGGTTGTACTTCTTATTTATAACATTTCTTCTTTCTTAACCACCATCAACCAACCAACCAATCAACCACCATCAACTACTACTACTGGAAATTTCGTTAGCGTGATCATCATCGGTTCGTTCACCGAGTGACTCTTTATATATTTATCTATTTCTCTCGGAGTTATGTCTACCTTATACGAAAATACTATTCAACATTGTAGTAATAATAACAATAATAATAATAATAATCGTAGTAATATTACCAACGTGTACGCTTGTGTTAACGGGAGTGCCGGTAAAGAAGAAAAAGAAGAAAAAGATAACGTAGTAGAGTGTTCCATTATTATTTTTCATTATTAAATTAATAATAATCATCGTCATCGTTACCGTCTTGTCGTCGTCGTTGACGTTATTTAGAAATCTAACCAATAAATAAATAAATAAAAAAATAAAAAAAGGGTAGAGGGGAAAAAGATTTATCGTCAAAAACATATTTGAATATAATAATAAAGGAAAATAGTGGAAAAGACATCGTGCAGAATAGGAAGAAGACATGTCCGCGATGTCGCGGGGTCCGCCCCGCGCTCGCGGACCCACACGGATCATCGAGAGGACGACGCCTAATCTTGGAAGTGGAAGAACAAGAGGAATCATCGTCAATAATATTGTCAACATTAAATTCGTCCTCTTGGTTATTCTCGTCACTGTACTCACGCCCACGGTCATTTCCGAGAAAAGTAAAGAATGTAAGTAACATACAAAATTACAATCTTTTTCTCTTTCTCTCTCGTTAATAATTTATTTAATTTTATTATTTTTCCTAACCTTATAGACTTTCTTCCTCTTTTTTTATTTTTTTTTATTTTTTTCAATACCTCCGTGCGTGCGTGCGTGCGTGCGTGCGTGCATGCATACATGCGTGGTGGTTTTTTTTTATTGCAACAATTTTCGGCGCCAATATCCATGACGGGATAAGCAACCAGCAGCAGCCAGTCTTTTGATCCTGCGTACTCACAACTTTTCCGATTCAACATTCTCAAGCATGCTCTTCTAAACTATCCCCCCTCTCTCCCCTTCTATATAATTCGTACTAACTAATATGTGTGTGTATGCGTGTACGTAAGTACATTCTTATGTCTAGGTTTATATATTAACGTATATGAATATCTTTATACATACAGATATATGTATATATGTATGTTTACATAAGTTGTAATGTACATATATATGTGTATGTAAGTTCTCTATACGCGAATGAAAATCTTTCTCACGGCTCCTGACACGATCGATGTCCGGTCTCTCTCTCTACGCGTTGAGAGTGAGCGCGAATGGGACGGGTGGACGGACGGACGGAAGGACGCATGCCGGTAAAAGCGAAATCGCTTTTAACAACCACCACTGTACCCATTTTATCCAATCGAGCGAGCGAGCAACGACGACGACGACGACGACGACGACGACGACGACGACGA